TTGTTATCGCTGATTGTTATGCCGGAAATGGTTATCACTTATACTCGGAACGAGGGACCTCTGCAAAAACAACACTGACAATAACAATAATCTAATGATGATTCTCATTCAACTGGACAATAAAAATGCTGAACATTTGTATTATAAATGAACAAGGGAAATTATGATTTCTGATTTAGATTGTGCTTTTAAATACTATTTTGAATATTACAGTTTTCGAATATTACCAATTATTAAACTCAAGAAGTTGAAATGTAACAATTCATTGTACTAACATTTTGCATTAAAACAGTTTATGAATGATCGTCCAGTTCTTCTACGTTTTCCATAGTGTTCAACCATTAAATTACTAAAATCTCCATAAAACCCTTTTCCGTTATATATACATCAAGATAAATAAATAGTTTGTGCTCCATTTAGGGATGGTGGTTTGTTTGTCCATTAGACCCATGTCTCTGAATTAAAGTGTCGTTTCGTTTTTAATATGATATCAGTATCCAGTTTTCGTTGCTTAAATATTATAATATATTGTTTTTCAAAACAATTTTAACGGTTGGTAAATGAATTCGGGAAATGTTATCGATTTAATGACACGGAAGTTCAAGGACATTGGTTGCATTGTAACCTTTAATTTCACTAATTTGTTTCCTATCCGATAAATTATATCATATTAAGGTAAAAATTTTAGCTTTAATCCTTTATTGGTCGAGAACTGGTTTTTTTCTTATGTTCAAAAATGTATTTTCTGACTACTTCTGTAAGCAAATTATTAGTTTAGCAAGTCCATCCATTCTCTTATTTTATCAAGCCAATTCCATTATTACATGTAGCAAGATTTTTGTCAACTTAGCATTTAGAATTCTACTATGCCTGAAAAAATTTGGCAATTAATAATAAATCTATAACCTTAAGTATTTTTACGTTGACTAATATTTATGTCGGGCAGTATAGTTAACTGATTATTATTATTTTTTAGGTACCTAGTTCACCGATGAATAAAAGTATTATAAGTCAGTAGTTTATCTAAAGATAGTGTTTAAATTTACTAATCATTTGAATAGGATGGGTCAAAGTACATCCAAGTAACCGGTTTGTGTATACTTACAAAAACAACATTTTCTATATTGAACAGTATGTTTCCTAATTATTGTATTCTAGATGAAGAATGAAATAAATTCCATACATTGACTTCACATATATTATCTATTGATTCATATGATTTTATATCTTTGCCTTCAGTGTTGTATGTATTTGGCAATAATTTTTCAGAGCCCGTCACTATAGCATTAGAAATTCAGAGCTTATTTCGTTAAATATTTCTTTGTCATTTTTTGAAATCATTCAGTGATAAAGAAAACATCTTGACGTTTCCTAGGCTAACTGGTAAAATGTTCTAGGGTAACAGTTAATGTAACATACATACAATACAAATAAGTTTTTTCCAACTATAAAGAAATGTGATTAGCTGAAGCGTTTCATATTATGCTAAACACCGCTGGCCTCAATACAAAGAAAAAAAGAAGGCCTGACTGGTCATCCAACTTCGACCGTTTATTCAATAAACCACATTCAGCTTTTCATTTCTCTCTCACACACATATGCAGAGATTTAAACTCTACTTCATATTACAAACCTCGCACTTTCCATATTCATATACACACAAAGTTGTCTCACACAGAATAACCTTTGCCAAAATAACGTTACATTGATATAATCAGATCTATTATAATTGGACTAAGTATTCTAGCTTACTCCTTTAAATTATCAAAACATGTTAATTAGATCCAGTTATTTATTCATTTATTCTAAAGAAGTGACTTATACTAAATCACAAAACTTCAGAAATCCACGTTTATACCCGTTGGGATATCATAAATTGTACGATTGTTTTATTATTAACTTCTTATTCAATGTTCAATTTATTTGAAATTATCAAGTTCCACTTTGATATTGATACCTAATTTGAATAAGCTTTCTACTGTACTTAAAAAATCGATACCCTTATACTTAAAATATATATACACAATATTTAAAAAAAGTCACTAAAATATTTCTAAAGTAAAACGAGACTATCATATATCCATTAATTGTTGTTGTTTAACTTTAATCATCCTTTTTCAAGGTGGTTGATTTACTTATGAACCTGTTAATCTATGTATGAAACATTATTGAAATTGTATTCTCTGATCTGAATGGTTTAATTATGTAACTTTTATTGTTTTTATAGATAATAATAATAATATTGTTAATATAAACTTCAAATAGAAGTAATCTATTCCGATTTCTGCTCATGTGACCTAACAACTAATTCTGTTGACTTTGATTTCAAATTAAAGTATTGTTTACATTTATGTTAATAGTTTTTTGTTTTGTTTAAATAGTTGTTTATAATTATCTTAATTGCTGACTGACAGTTCTAAGATTATAAAAATTCTGTAGACCTCTTCATGTTGCTTCTGTCCAAGATTTTAGTGTGTGTTTTTTTGGAGTTGAATATATGCCTACAATTATCTACATGTATTGATTCAAGCAAAGATTTATCATGACGTTTAATAACTGATTGGTGTTTATGTAATTGAAAACAAAGAGATGGCATCCACTTTATCTGATCTAATAATCCTCACATTTAGAGTTTATTTCTTGATAATGTTCAGTTTGTTTTCTTTTGTCATTTAGATTCCAAGGTGAGGATTGAAGTAATTTTTTTAGCTTGTTATCAATATTCATTCGTAATGGCTTCGATAATCTTACTGTAATATCCTTCATATATGGTAGAATACTTTATCTTGTTTTATTTCCCATTTTTGATTTAATGCTTGTTAATACGTTAGATAAACACTTTTTGATGAAGTTCCATTGAAACTTGTTCCTTTGAAAAACAGTCACTAACTATTTTTTCTTCGTTTCTCTGTATGGTAGGTGTGCTACACTTTATCTTCACTCTTTTGAATATAATCTGTACATTGTTAATTCTGTGAGTTGTTTTAGTTGAGAATTTAATCTGTATGTATGTCGGATTTCGATACACCTGAATTTGCAGTATTAACTGTGTCGGTTCTAATGACCAATGAATTCTACTGAAAATATGTTGTTTCCCTGATTTCTCAATGGGAAATTTATTTCTACAACCTTGTTAATCAAGCTATACGGACTTCGATCTCTTCCTTTTGATGGTGAAGAATGTGCCGAAATTACGGATCCACAATTTTGGTTTGATTATTGGTATAACCAAAGTTTATAATCGCTGCTTGGGATATTGATGATCTCATTCACGATCTTTTCGTTTATTTGTATATTTCATTTAGAAATTGAAAATATTTTATTAGGAATAGGTCGGTGATGTCTAATAAATTTTGACATGAAAGCTTCGCGTGTCTCAAATAATTTATGTAAAAGAGCAGAATTTCAGCTGAAAATCCGTTTCACTATCTCGAGGTAGGATATAGTTTTGAATATCTTGTAGTATAAATAGTGAAACAAATGTTAACGTACAGTTAATTGCTTCAGTACACTTCACTGATGTTTCGTAATCTTCTAATTTACTGGGAGATATGATTTCTATTTCGACATCTTTTTGGTTATCGTGGTAAATATCGCTTTCCTGATTAAGTAACTGCTTCTCTAGTTTCTCCTAAATTACGCTCTTTATTTTTTCCATTGTCAAGATAAACTTTAGTTTTAAATTCTGAGTCTTCTTTGTGGGTCTACTTTCTTTTCTTCTGGAAACACACAGGCAAACTTATTCTCTCGTTTAAACATATTTATAGTCAAAGCTTGTGTTGTAGAAAGAGTGAGAACCCTCTACAAAATGTTATAGCTTGTGACATTGTCACCTATTAATATATAACGTAATGATACCGCCAATTACAAAAGAGTGATTTATCGACCGGACTAATGACGCGTAAACCCTAACGAACAGTCTAGAATCTTTATCGGTCCTTCTTCCCGCCAAGGCTTGACTGTTGAGTCCAGAGCACCACTCTCAGAGTCTGCGATATGAATCCTTTATTTCAAACATACTCGGTTTATGTACAAACTAGACAAACCACATCGTACAATAAAATAGAAAATAGCATTTGTACGAGATATAGACAAAAGTGTCTGTGAATGTGAGAGACTGTAATTGATAGACAGGGCATAATTCAAGAATGGTAAATCGTATAATAATAGTCTGTAGGTTGAAATAAGAGGAGTATAGATATGCATAATCTGGTTACTGAATAGTTATACAATACGAATATATGTATAATATTTGTCCATAAATAGTTCTCAGAAGTTACGAATAGTTTAATCTTCACTAGAATATATTCAACAACAGCCGATGGTGATATGATCTGTTCGCGTCTATCGTTGAGTCTGCATGTCAGACGATATCTCCCTTTATGTTGAAAGTTTGCTCCTGCTAGAAATTAAAGGTTGTTTGAGCATAGTTTCTGTTATCTGTTCAATGAGCCGATATATCCAAAAAACTTACCTACTTGTCTTTCATTTTGTCTTGCAAGTGTGACATTTTTATAATCAAGCTTTTCAAACCTATTGCTACCATTGTTAGGAGCCAGAATCGCTTCAGATTGAGGGTGTTTATATGAAGCATTCGACTACCTTCACACTCCAGTACATTAAGCAGTACGAATTCTCTTATGAACCATGGGGTTAACTTTTTTCGAGTTTTACTCTTCACCAATTGATCTGTCCCGTTGTGGTATCAACTAAATAGATCAGTATTCTACTCAGTATTAAATCACTTAGATCATCACAATGTTCAAACCTGATCACTACATCAACTTAGTAACTACAATCAAGATTTAAATCGAGTTTTACTATATGTAAAATTGATTATAATTCGTTCTTATTTTTTGACTAATCTTTCAATCGATCATATTTTGATATCAGAAATAAAAAATCACATTCACTATAAATCAAATGAGAAAAATAATAATAATAATAATTGATTGTTTTTGATATACACCATAAGTATTACATTCCTATCGATGTTTTGTTTTGTTTTATTTTGATTATAGAAATGAATATAACTATCTATATAATAATAGAAAACATTTTGATATTATACAATTGCCATATTCTGTGTATCATAAATCAGCCTATAGAGAACCATTAATTTCAAACTTTAAAGCAACATCAAATTATTCATTGTTAAATTAAAATGTAACTCAATAGTTCCTTAATATATTTACATATAATTCAATTGTGTTTTCAAATGATTAAAATTCTTGTTTTGAAAAAAAGAAAGACATTTCTCTATGTGAAATGTTGTCTAAAGAAAAAATATAGTTAAATATAACAAATATTTATTTATTATTAGCTTGATTCAATATTCTATTCTTGGTACAATATGGAATTCTCAGTAAAACGTATTTCAGCGAATTTCCGTTTCTTACATCTTGGCCGATACTGACGATAAATATTGAGTGGTTGCCAGTTAGAAGTTAGTCATTCAGGAAATCAACACATAAATAATGTATATTCTTTTCACTGCATATTGAGCTCTTTCGTAACTTGTACAACAAAAGGTTGTACATATTTCAAAAACACACCTGAATAGGGTATGCGATTAATAGCCATAATTATGTATTAAAACAAACAAGAAAATAGATAACTTGTTGAAATATCTAGATGACAGGAACAGGTAGCCCAGATATTAAAGCAGGCCGCCACAGATAAAAGTCAATAATTACTAATCAAGATCGAGGCCGACAGGACAAACTTTCGGTCATAGGTAATGAAGTTTGAATACTTCACTTCTACTTAAAGTTTGTTTTGATGTTCTTCGGAAGAATAATGAAAGTGTAGTAAACCCATTCAACCACTGTATTATTTATCTGCTCACTATAGTTTAGACACCTAATCCATTGTGTAATTTTCTGTGTGAGTCATTGATTGTAATACACAGATAATCTTTAATTTATCCATACTTGATTAACACTAATAAATATATATGGATTTTTAGCACACACACTCTTGGTTTCCCTATGTGCTTGTTTCCCGTATGCTTGCGGATTTTACCAATCTTTAACAATAAACTGTCTCTATAACTGGTATTCAGGCTTTTGAACAATCTCGAGTAGATCCATAATTCTACTAGGAGATTTAGCCTGCATTAAATATTCAGTTAACGGGATACTATTTATTGGAGTCAGATATAGGGGAAATTAGCCTCTACAAAAACTCCACAACCTAAACATCCAGCTCAGATGATAGAAACTGCGAAACTGAGCTTCTCATAATGATGTATTAAAACAAAAAAAAACAAAAAAAAAACAGATAACTTGTTGAAATATCTAGATGATAGGAACACGTAAAACAGATATTCAAATAATTAAATTATCCATAATGATACACTGTTTTACTTTTTTGAAAAAGTTGAAAAGTCTATACTGTTAATTTTAAATTTTGCTACAAACAATGTCAATTTATCACTCTCAATAAAAGTGTAATATTTAGCTTTTATTCAAACATTATTCTATTCATTTAGTAGGTGAGTAGGGATTTTATTTCAATCATCTAAGGCTATCTACAAATCTGTTCTATGAACATGTTACTGTAATGCGGAAGGAAAAAGCGAATAAAGTGAAAGTTTGAAGTTGAAATAAAAACTCCAGGGTAAATTACGCTCTTATATCCAGAACTTACTCACTAAATGTATGGAAAAATGCTTGATACAGCATAAATACTGAACATTGAAGAATGGATACAAAATCTTTTCCTATTCGTGACATTTCTGTATTAAAACTAGGTTATCAAATGGCTCTTACTGAAACTGACTTAAGATCGATCGATTGATATTAAACAATGACTAGTAACAGTCCATAAAACTGGATTATTAATGTAAGCTCCCAAATAAACTACTATCGAAATAGGTATCATTACCAATGTTTGACGTGATAATTTCGAATAAATTGAGCATTGGGTAGATTGCCGATTTAAATCGGCAATAGCAGTTCACGCCATTTTCAACAAATCGATTTTAAAAATAACAAAATATTAAAAAGGGTTTTTTCAATTACAAAGAAAGGAGAGTAACTGAAGCGTTCCATATAATGCTTAATCCTACTGCTCTCAATAGAAAAGAAGTTCTCACTATACATCTTATCTATCCTAGCCACTTAGTCTGATATTATTCACAATTTACACTATTATCTTATCACCATAAAGGTCACAAATTTTTCATCCTTAACCGTACACACATACACCCATACAAATTTACATACATGTCGCTTATGAATCACCTTGACCGAAATGACATGACATTGATTTGTTCAGACTTGTTTTTTTGACTGATCACATAATATTCTTGTTGTTCAGTTGTGCTATTTAAAGTTGGATTAATTTTGATTTGGTTATTTATTCTCTAAAGAAGTAGCTTACACTGAGTCACGAAACGTCGGAAAATTTAATTTTTCTACTCATTGGTATATTACACATATATTAATTTACTTATACTATCGAAATACATCACAAAGGATCAGCGTAGAGCTCTTTTCCAGAAAAAAAATTTTTTATTTACAAAATAATGAACATGGTGAAAGGAGATTGAAACCTATGAAACTAAATTATAATTCACCGCCGTTGCAAAGTCATTTGTTATCTGGACTTATTAACTACGTAGATAACCTGTTGATGTTTAAAGCCAAAGTCACTAAGTTCGAATCCAGGAGCGAAAATCAACACCGAGATGCAGGCACATCCAACTGACGAGCACAAACTGAGACGAAACGCATCCTTGATTCCACTTCTAGCCACTCTCCATCTATTAAATAATAGTTATTTAAAATACTAGTTACATAGATTAGTCATAATTTAAGTAATTCAAACCTGCTGTCTAGCCCCTATTGCGACCCCATAGGAGACCAAATCCAGGAGCTAGATACTTGAAGTTGATTTGCTTCAAATAGGATGAATAGTGTCATGAACTCTTTGATTCCGATCACCGTTCATAATTAATCCTCATATTATTACTGCATATTATAAGTTGCAAATAATTAGTGTATATCATATGTAAGCAGTAGCAGTGAATTTGACAGTATAATTACTGAATTATCAGATATCGTAGTAAATTAAACAACTTAAAGTAACGAATTCATGTAACGAAATAGAAAAATAAATCCATACATGAGAAGTTGATAAAATCAATATTTTATCAAAAGTCCAAAACTCAAGTCAACTTTACGTTTTCTACTTGTTTGACGGATGAAAATCCCGGAAAGAATTATCTGTTAAGAAGGATTTAACTATCACAAATTGTTAAATAAATAAGAATCATATGAATGTTCGTGTAGAATTATTATGCTATAGGTAGCGAAAGCAGAAATGAAAATATAACAGTCGATGTTAAACACAATATATTTAATACAAAAATGTATTGAAATCAAGAACTCACTAGTCATAACAGTAACAGATGATGTAGATGTAGTGTATGCTACTTGTTTTGACAGATATTTAGTAGTGTGTAACAGCAATCACCACTGGGAAACCTGGCAACAGAGAGTTAAGAATAAAGAGTTAAAGAGAATAGAAGGGAAAATAGAAAACAATTCTGAACCGGATGAATCATACCGAATGTGAAGGACAAGTTATAGAAATTCGCAAGTATTCAGTGTATGATTCTCATATTTTACCAAGAGATTCTGATTTTCAATATAATCAGTTAGCCCCACCCCTGTGTTCTTGTTCACTTCATACATACTACACAAAAACCACTTTTCCTACGATCAGTTTACAATATCTTAGACTATATAAAACAGTTAATAAAACCACTTCAGATAGTTTAAGGATAACTATATACAGCTTTTGGCAGGTCAAAACTCTGTGAACATCATTTGCTTAAATAGTGTAACTAAGCTTTTGTTGACTGGTACTAACTAGCCTAAAATATAGGTTTTTGGCTTCTTGTCGACTCGGCGCATATCTAACAAAATAGCCAACCAGTGTTTGATGTTTAGTTACTTTGTAGAGTGGTAGATGAGATAAACATCTTCCATATGTTTTATTTATCGACCATATTTTTAAAAAAAATATAATTACAATTATCTTGTTACTGAAACAATCTTTATAGGTTGAATTTCATAATGAACAGATGTATTACAATGTAGACTGCTGATTCGAATTCCTACCAATCATAATTGTGATTACAATTTTACAAAGCTTGATTCGTAACCAAACACTATTTTCTATGAGCTAATTATAAATATTATTTTCTTTGAAACACCCTACAATCGAGCATGGGATTTTAAGACTTAAGATTACAAATATTTGTACTGTCTTTGTGCGCTTTAAGTGTGATTACATGAAGTTCAGGACGAGGGAATTCGATCCGGTACAAGCGTAACTATGTCAGATAAAAATTATTCAGTTCAGTTTTACATGGTTAATTTGTAGATTATCAAAGAAATGAATTAGTTTATGAAGAACTCATCTTTCAACCACTGGGTGGGGGATTAAACTCTAATCTAACAGCCTTAATTTAGTTACTTGGAATGTTACTCCATCAACTACTTTTGATTATTAAATTATTTTAGCTAGTCTGTTATCAGACATTTACGGGATTTGTTCTAAGCTTTCGATGGAAAAATTGATCAAATCTCCCCATTTATCCTGTCACACATACGCTTGATCTTGCCAATTACTCACGTGTAACCACTTTGAAAATAACTGATTAACTATGTTTTACAAGAGAAGACAAGAACTGTGTAGGAGGCCTTAATTTGAAAATTCAAACAAGAATGTTTTGTTTTCACGCTTGTTAATCAATGATGAAACTGAGTTTTGTTAAGTGAATATTCCAAATAATAATATATCATCTATACTTGTAAGTCATCCACCTAGTGGTCCGTGGAGTTATGACAGTGTTTTATTAATACAGTAGTCTTCTCATTAATTTGAGATTTTAATACAATAGTGAAGCTTTGAGTGGATAAATATTTCATACCTTTCGATAGATGTATTTTGAGAACTTAAAAAAAAACGTTTCTACAGATAATACATTTACGAAAATAACATTTATCAAGATCGGTATCAATACCAAGGTTGGAATTGATAGTTTCAAATAAATTGACCATTAGGTAGAGAGTTGATAAAAAATATATTTTTGTGACATCTCAATGAGTAGGAGAAATGCTTTTCTGACGTTTCGTGACTTAATGTAAGCCACTTCTTTAGAGTAAATTCACAGAGTATTTACGAAACGTCAGAAATATATATATAATCAGAAGGGGATTTTGTGGAGATTTTAGCAATTTTATAGTTTAATTCATGAGTCATTTGAAGCTAGACCACCATGGACGCCGGCTCAGTGGTCTATAGGTTAAGCGTTCGGCGCGAAACCGGTAGATCCGGGGTTCGAATCCCGCCGAGTGAGATTGTATATACACACTGCTAAGGAGTCCGATACTAGGATGAAACAGTCGTCAAGTGCTTTTAAGTTTTCCATGGTGGTCTATGTTCAATTGACTCATGCACTCAACTATAAAATATATATTTATTATTTCATTAAATCATTGATGTTGTAACAGCAATTTCAATATCAATACAAAACAGACTATAAATTCTTTTAGAAATCATAAATTGATTAGTAAGGCGTGAAAACTGATCGCTACCTTTGATTGAATTGTGTGTTAGACAAGATATACGTTATTGTTTAATATTAAAAGTAATACATTGAATTTTCAGAACTCAGAATTAATTTTATTGACAAATCAACCTGAAATATTTTCAATACGCGTTTCCCTGAGTATCTGAACTTTTTTTCTGTTGCATATTTACACTATGTTTAATTTATTTCTATGGATCATTGGGTTGAGTGTTTAAAGGTTCTACTTTCAATCACTGAATTGTTAGATCTACTCAAGATTTCATCTTAAATCACGACTTTTACCAATTTTGTGTTTTTTTTTATCCAACATATTGGGCTAAGCTATATTTAAATCTTCATAGAAAACAGTTACAGAAACTCTGGAGACTTGAAATGAAAATGGAATTCCGATAAGCAGTTTTCATTCATTAAATAGATGGAAAAGTAATGCCCAGAGGTGCTGGGTACAAGACACTACTCATTAAAAACATTGTGCATAATTTCAGCGAGCACTTACATTATCTAATTTACCAGTACTAATCCATTTTATTCTACGAATGTTAGCTCTATTTACGGTATGAAAACATAAAGTTAAGCTTTTGTTAGATTAGCGTATAAGATGACATTTCATGACCTATTATTAGACTCAAATTTACAGGTGAGACTATAATTTATGGGCGACCTTTGAGCGACACTAAAAGTGACCTTGAGATTGTCCACCTGATAACCAGTACCAAATAAAGGTTATAAACCTGCATGAGGAATTAGAACTATGATTTACAGTTGATGATTAAAGTTAGAAATTAGATTTAGGGTTTTCATCATGAACTGACATCAACCATAATGCCAAAACTCTATTTAACCAAAAAGATATATAAATTTCGCGCCAAAATCCCAGGCCTGCTATTATTGTGACTTTATGTCCGGCTAGTTGTCACGTGATCTTTTCACCAATCAAAATACGATTTATACAATCTTAGCACTGTGTCAAACCAATAACGTTCGACCGATCCTATGTTCGCCTAGCCTGTCCGCTTGAGTCTAGAACACCCATACCAGCTTCCACTATGCGAATCAAATCGAATCGAATCATTTATTTTGGACATACTGGGTTTATATACCAAACAAACAGACCGCAACGCACCATAAAATAGAAAATAACACTCGTAAAATAAATATAGCCGAATTGGCTGTGAAGGTAGGAGACAGTAATTAATAAACTGAACATATCTTAAGAACAGTAAATCGTACAATAATAATAATCTATAGGTCAAAATAAAGCTTAGAACAAGGGGAATACAGATATATACAATCTAGTTACTGAATAATTATACCATAAGAATATATAAATAATATTATTTCATTAATCGTCCTCGGGAGTTACCCGTAATTTAATCTTCACTAGTATATAACAGTTATCTTATTCCTGATTGATTCAAACATAAATTATAATCTCGCCAATTTACATAGGCGCGGAATAAGTGTTGATTGTTAAAAGTCTTCCTTAATATCATCGATACATAACTTCTATTGATCCTCTTCTTGTTACTATGTTTGTTTACTTAGCTAACAGCTTAAAATAGAATAGCGTTTCACATATCTTTATTGCATTTCGAAGCTCTCATTATTTTTTATGATAGGATACATTTCTACATCCATGTCATTTTCACTTTTGATATTTCTATTGACATTTAAACGAGCAACCATTCATTAATATAAACATATAAACATTTCTAATCAACGACGTTAACTATAAACAACTTTAGTTTCTAGAATAATTGTGTTTTTATTTTTTAATATGGGCAATTGATTTCTAACCTGATAGTATAATTTATTTATAATAGCTGGATCAGATAAATTCAAAATGTGTGTTCCATCCTATTTGCAACCTGTTAGCTGATTATACCCGTAATTCATTGTTAATGTTCACAATGAGATTTGAACTCATTAACTTTCTCTTCAAACGCCAACGCTTTGTCCATGAAACTAGTAAGCCTATACATAGTGTTCACTATCAAAAAATTTCAAACTAGAACTAAACAATTACTTAATGATTCCTAGTTTTCTAATTCAATTGAATCTATGGAAGTAAAACTAACCTTGAAAATTCAAAACACCCTTTTTTTACCAACAATTATATAATAATAAAGGCGTATTCAACAATATTGTTTAAACGTTTTTTATAAAGACAAATTAATTTGTGTTTAGTTTGATAAAGTACACATTTATTTATTATTATTTCTTCTTATTGTTAATATGCCCCTAAATGCCCTGGTACGGCCGAGAGTAGGGAGAGTCAACTCTCCCTCTCGAAATGCTCTCAAGTCACCACGTGCATACAACCACTGCCAGGAAAGTCCTACGCACTGCCTTCTCGTGGCGGGGGTGTTGTTTACGAAATTGAGAGGACGAAAAACAAATATCTGGCGCTTTAACCGAGTTGGTGGATATGAAAGATTCACTCAGGGGAGTTGGAAAACCCTGATTCCAAACCAATGGTGCACATGGGCTCCAGGATCTTAAAGAAATTAATGGCATATGAAACAGTCGTTGATCACCGACTACTATGGGACTGCATCAGAATTCCAATTCTAATTTTTATTCATTCCGTGTTTACTAATTCTTCTACAACTTGATCAGTTATACACTTGGCGAGCACCGTTGATCTTGAGCTGACTCACCTACTTTTCTGTTAGTTCGCTATTCGTGAACCTCTCTCTATATTCTGCCTTGAGCCCAAAAAGTCCGCTTTGAATATTATTATATTTCAAACATATGTGTGTTTATAAACAAGTGTATTAGGCCTCATCTCATTATAAAACGAGAGATCACAATCATACATAAACAATCTGAGAGTTGCCTTAATTAGTCTAGTATCAGAAGGGGTTTTGTGGAGAATGTAGTAATTTCAATAGTTGAAATCATGAGTCAATTGAAACTAGACCACCATGGAAAACCTGGAAGCACTAGACGGTGGTTTCGTCCTATTGTCGCTCTATTTTGTGGATCAGTTGAAGTTAGACATTAACACCATTGGATGCCGGCTCAGCGGTCTAGCTGATTAAGCGCCTGGCGCGAGAGCGATAGGTCCTGGGTTCGAATCTCGCGAGGCGGGGTCGTGGATGTGCACTGCTGAGGAGTCCCACAATAGGACAAAACGGCCGTCCAGTGCTCCCAGGTTTTCCATAGTGGTCTAGCTTCAATTGTATCCTGATCTCAACTATTGAAATTAATTAGAATAAGCTGGGAAAAACCGATTAAGAATATAATAGGAATAATAATAATAATAATAATAATAATAATATCAGTCAGTATAGGGTTGTGGAGATTTTTCAGTTTGGATCGATCTAATGAATGGATCAATGTCAGACTATCATTGAAAACCTGGAAGTATTGTACGGCCGTTTCGTTCTGGCATGGGCATCCTCATCGATAACATGGATTGGTTGAAGCTGGACATTAACACCGTTGGATGCCAGCTCACTGGTCTAATGGTTAAGGGTTCGCACGCAAGATCGAAGGTCCTAAGATCGATTCCTGCGTGCGTGGTTGTGAGTGCGCACTGTTGAGGAGTCCCATGCTAGAACGGAAAGGCCATACAATGCTTCCAGGTTTTCACTGGTAGTCTAACATTGATCCATTCATGATATCAATCTGTGATAATAATAGTTGATAGGTTAAATGAAATTTTCAGATAAATGCAATATATAAATATAATAATCCAGTTACTTATCAACTATACAACAATAAATAAATAACTGGTAATAATTCGAAAACCAGTTTCAACTTTTACAATATTCATCCTGTTATTACAACTATGCAGTTATATCAAATATATTTTTCCTATAAATTATTAACTTTCAACTGATTTCATTGATTCCAATGCATCCATTATGTAATTGCGAAAGAAAACTGATTACCTTAAATGACCTGATGATTCATATCTAGTAGACATTTAAATATATATATATATATATATATATATATATATATATATATATATATATATATATATATATATATATATATATATATAGGTATTATGAAATTACAAGTTACGCTTGACAATCTAAATGGTCAGAAGCTGAATAATTCACATCGATTTGACAGTGAAAGCTAACTAGAACCAGTTTTACACAACTGGTCATTCTTTGATTACTATATGTACGTTGGTGTATTTAGTTAAAAATCTATTCATAATCATTAGTTTCATGTTGTAATCGAGTAAAGCAACTGATATGGCTCAATGAAAAGGTATTGCAAATGATAAATAAATATTTATTATACAACAAAAATAAACTAATTGAGTTCCACATGTTTTACTTCTAATGATCAATAGTTAAGTTCAATTATATTGAACAAGGTAGTACTAGGCTCTACTAGATAATAGAATTTTACAAAACAATAATATCAAACTGTTATAACCAATAAATGTAGCTTGTTTAATGAATTATAAGATCTAACTCCCTAAAAGTTAATAATTATTTGGATTCAGGATGTTGAATAGTGCAACTTCTGAACATCTTTGTGATATAGAAAATCAAATCGACACCAACGAATCTTTAATGATTAGTAAACAGTTAGGCATTAATTCTACGAAATTTACAGAATCCATAGCGACCAAATACCAGATTCTTCGTTTATGTATTCAAAAAAGTAAACATTATCAACCTTCCTTTATCCCGATTATATAACTCCCGCTTAGTGACGTCACTCATTTGTTTATTTTGTTGTCATTTCTACTTTTTTCGACTCTCTTCTAGCGAAGTAATTTTGTTTAGTTAGCTAAATGTTCATTTATTTTTTACCAATCATTATTGTGTGTTCAGTGAACACTTTTATTTTCAACTATTCAGTCTTTATAGATTGTCAAGATGTTCGAGGGTACTTTTCTAATACATGATGTAGGTTGCAATATTGATTTAACTGGGATCCTTACTACACTAAACTATGATTTGTTCACATTAACTTGCAACGGGGCCCATATCTGATGGTAATTCCGATTCACTTTAAAGTTTCGACCTTGAAGCACTACAGGTTGTTGCCGAAAACCTCTGAAATAAATATTCAACCGTGTCAGGTTGAGGCATTTACCTACCAAAGTCAATGGGAGATTGCAGTGCAATATCGTGTATTTGCTTCGGGAACTTTTTGCATGCAATTTTACCTCGCCTAGATGAGGCTGAATATCTATTTAACATCTACATGCAGATTCGGAATTGGATAAGTCAAATGAACAGCCACTAAATTTTCAATCATCCGGCAGTGGGTCCGAGCTCTGTCCCATCTATTTCGGTATATGCAGTCATCGGGTAGAGTATCATTAATCTTCATAAGACTAAAGTGTCTTTGGACCGAATAACTATTTTTGCGCTTATTGAGTGATGATAAAAAGACAATGATCGATAATTCAGTTTACTTACACAAAAGACGATCGAAAATTTCAATAAACTTGAGTAACAGTACTTGTTTCAGACAATGTTAGGTTCGTTTGCCTTCTGTCCCTATTCTTTACTTAATCAACTGATTGCGAATTGTTTTATACTACTTGTTAATATTCAGTAAACAGTCGAATATCTAATAGTTTCTGAATGCATGGTGTAGCGCACGTTTATTTATGTAGTTTCCAAGAGTATTTAAATTAACCAATAACATACAATGTATTTATTATTATAATTACTTTTTCTATACCTCATAACAGTTATTCCTAGTTTTTTTAAACTCCTTGAATTTGTTTGAACAAGGCATATTTTATATTTGTGTGTTCTTATTTCACATTTCGATTGTTGATATCTATTGTTGACACTGGATACATCTCACAGCTGTCATTTACGATATCGTGTATTGTAATTACTTTTTATGTTGTGAAGAAAGAAAGCCTTTATCTTTCCCGACTCACAGACGCGTTAACTGCCACAGACACTGCAACAGTTGAGATTTGTAATCAATTTATGTTTATTCCTTGATTAATAGACCCATTCCTTAGAGAAATAGTTGCTTTTTTTGGACTTTGGTATCACGAGTATCTCAATCGTGTAGGTGAACTCTTTGATAGATTTTACACATAGTATAAACATTAAATTAATATCCGAGCTGAATACAAACTGTATCTCACTCGAGCACTCAATTAACTATTGATTACTTATAAAGCAGTATTAAAATTATATGATATTTTACAAAAAAAGTGCGAAAAGTTGTTTTGTTACTTGGGGGCGGCCAAAACAAAAGGTGAAATCAGTGCTTGATGTCACTAACTTCTAGTTTGAGCCATGTTGGTAGATGTAGATTACTTGGTTGTGGTCTGCGTGACTGTCATAACCAATGGTTGGTGACTCCGGGTGACATGGCTTAGAATCGATCACAACGGCGTCAGTGTATACACTCTTTGTCGTCCCTTATACCGTGAGATAAAAACCGCTCCATACCTTTGATTCTACGAACTAATTCTTTCTTCCTGCACTATATCCTCATACACAATCTTTCTTTTATACATTACTACCAATGAAGTGACTACTATGATTTTGATGTTCATCTTGTTGTGCTAATGAGGTGTGGCAACTTGGACCGATGTATATATGTGCCTGGTACTAAGTTGTAGCTGAATGACCGTTTTGTTACTTAAACTAAAACTTGATGCGGAATTTATGATTTAACATATTATGCTTTCTAGAAATCTGACTTAGTGTTTGTAGAACATGTAGTTTCACTTCAGGCATATGCAATCTGACGCAACCAGGATGAAAGTGTTCATATGCTTAATATGATTGACGATGGTGGTTTCGGTAGGAATACTCACATATAATGGCAGCATTATATAAGTAGTAATGAAACCTGATAAATATTATTGAGAATAATAAAGATTGTTATTCGGAACTTGATTACAACATTTAATTTAGATAAGAAGCTCGTGTACATTTTGTTTATTTCATTGCAGTAGTTTTCATACTGATAATTGTGTAATGTAACTTCACTCATTTGCCAAGTACAGGTTTATGTACGCATAATGATAATAATCAACTCCCCAAACTGAGGTGTATGAAGTGTCGTTCGAAGTTGAGATCAACTAGTTGGAAGCTAAGCAATTATCTCTCTATTATGCGTCCATGCTGTAGCCAACAAGCAAAAGCAATTGGTTTATGGCATAGAAACGTAGAACGTATGACATTTGTGAAATGTTAGCATATATATGCGGTGTTCCATGTACACACGGTCTTGTCATAGAGATCAAATAACCCAAGGACTTGAGATTTACTAAACATAACCGAAATTACCCAAAAACTTATTGCCGTTTTCGTTTATATACGTAAGCCTTTTAAAAGCGACGGGACAAGAAGAGTATTAAATTAGATTTTAATTTATAAATTGTTCACTTTATTGATATTATTATCATCACTATACTCAGTATCTCCGCTTTCGAATTTCTAGAATATTGTCATATTTATTTTTATCCACCACCACGTCTATGTTTTTCGAGTTGAGTAGAGGAAAGAATTCAAACTCTCCATGATAACTTAAAGTTACATCAATTTTACCTGAAAAATCCGAAGCTGTTCCCTACAATACATACATACAATAATATAGCAATATTAACTACTCATTAAACTTTTAATAAAACATTCACGTTGATCAAAATAATATAAAAATTCTTTACAAAATTTATCTACCAAACAAATAGATGTCACTGAAGCAGATGACACCAATGTTGACGAATAGTGCTGACAGGCGGGATTATTCATTAAATGAACAATTTTTTCTCGATCATATTTTAGCTGTTCTAAAAGGATCGTATAAATTCGATTTAATAATTTTTGAATAGTTGAGTAAATAGTGTCTTCTGAAATATTATACAAATTATCAAGAGATTGATAACACTGTTGCTGGTTATCATTGTTATGTATATTACTCATAAATGTATACATTAAAAATAATATTAAACCTAGGTGATAGGATGGACCAAAGTTATTATTACTATCAAGTGATAAATAAACTGAACTCCATGTAACATCATCATCATCATTGCCATCGCCGTCATCATTATCAGTGGAATCATATGGTAAGGATAGATCTAACTTTTCAAGAATTCGACGAAAATAAAGACGTAATGAATAGTAGACTTGTGGTAATATCTTGAATTTATTCTCGATAGTTTGATTATCAGTAGACGATGCGAATGGATTAGATACAGTAACAGAATTACTACTACTACTAGTCAATGTTATGAATGAATCGACTAAATCATTAAATAAATCCATGATGAAACAGTAACTTAAGTAAATCACTTCATTGGTACTTTTCTCATCGAATGGAAGAATGAAACCATATTCTGTGAATAGAGTTAAATTATCATGTGCTCCATAATTTATTAAAACCTGGAAGTTAGGAGAAATTAGAAACAAAAATGATCAACAGGATATGAAACAAATAAAACAAAACAATGAAATCAAGTTTTGAATAGTAACTGATTTGGTTTTGATTAATTTACGTTATTAGTATGGGAATTTATTGAGTGGTGGACAACAATAATCGAAGATATGGAAAAGGCGGTGACTATAAGTAAAAATTGACAACTATTAAGACTTATCAAGGAAACATATGTGAAAAATTTGATTGTTAGCGAGAATATTTCGGAATAGGTAAGACAATTATTTATTCTCCTTTTCAATTGTTGGCGAATGAATTGGTAAATTATTGAAGGCATAGTGTGTACTTTTATTTTGAGTTTTCTGTGTATTTCCATCCGGCTTCTGAATCGCGGACCAGAGTTTAATGAGTAACAGAGACTGTTTGGCAATTTATTGGCCGTATGATCCGCGTGAATACTCTGTATTATTGATAGTGCTGTTTATATGAGTCGAGATGAAGAAATGTATAAGTGATTATAAATGGTGTTAGTTCACGGCAATATATTGAACAGATCATGTTTCGTACTTTTAACTTATGGGCTATAAATAAAAACCATGACAGAATACAGTAATGTACAGTATACAAACCATTTAGTTGTTACAAATACTATCGTGAACTGTACAACTGATTGGTCAATGAATTTATTTATTTATTTGAACACATAAATATTGGTACAAAGGGGCATCGAATACATATACGTCACACAACTCACTTGATTTGTGTGTGGGTTATGATACTGTCCGGGTGCCAAAAGCGAATGTGGTTTTCTTAGGGGGCCACACCCGGGGCTTTCGATCTCAAGGTCGGAACTATAAGACAGTGGAGTAACGTCAGGAGATGCAGTCCCATGGTAACCGGTGACCGACGATTGGTTCTTACGCAATTTGTTGTATCAGGATACTGCAGCCCATGTGCACCATTGGTTTGGAATCAGGGCTCTCAGTATCCACTAATCCAGTTAAAACGCCGGACATTCGGTTTTCGTCCTCTCACTTTCGTAAACAACACCCCCGCGACGAGAAGGCAGTGAACAGTGACGAATGTCTAGCTCTTTAGTCCAGCCTATATAATTTAGTGACGACGTCCCAGACTATGAAGTTGGGTGATGGGAGGTAGTTACGTGGAGTATTAGTCCCCTCAAGACTGTACAGTTAAGCATCTTGCTGACGAGTGGCAGCCAACGAGCATGAAGTCCAGGTTATGCAAGTTTTCCTACCGTGTATTTACACACATTCAGAGTCTAACTTACCAATAGTTGTGATTGACTGATTACAATAAATTATATCTCATTATATTTGTTGTTTAGTAGTATGCAATATTACAGCTAAAGAGTAAATGATAACATCCTTCACATTATAAAAATAAAACGCAAAAGACTACCTGTTCACCTGCAGATACTGAACGTTCCAAATATAATTCCAATGATAGTTCTGTTTTAGACAATGATAAAGCGGTTGGTACATTTTGATCATGATTTAAAAAATCAAAAAATGGTATCAAAGCGATTGTGTGGCTATTCTCCTCATCTATAAACAGCGAAATAACTTCAAAGTTGTTACAAAAGCTCAAATCTCTTAAATCAAAACTGATTAGTAGATTATAAAGATGTTGAACCTCTGACAAAGATTCTTTAAAAGGACATGAAACACAACGTGAATTCACAGTACACCAAGCCCATAGAAATTCTTTTGGCGGAATGCTATAACCTTTATAATGCAAACCTTTTGTACAATCATTGTTATTAGTAAAAATTGGTTTTATGCAATACCATGATCTTAACAGTCGTGTTATCAAACGTTGTAATTTAATGTTTACATCATTTGAATGGAAATAGTGCGAAGAGTTAACTGTCAATATTCTTTCAAATAAACAGTTAGTATCGAATAAGATACAAGATAATGGATCCAAATAAACTTCTGGCAGAACAGATAGATAAGGTGCCCAAATCTTTCTTAGAATGCATTTGGTTGAAGTTGAGAATTTACAATGATAAATAAAAGCTATAAGAGTATCGAGAGAGTTTAAATTAGCTTGATAACCTTTGGAATGTTCAAAACATGGACAATGATTAAGTAGATAAGCACATCGTAACGGTGTAAGAATTAAGCGCAAATCATTTAATGGTACAGAATAACAGCATTGTTTTGCTTTTATTTCACAACAAGCAATTAGACCACGTTGGCCAAATTTTAAGTTGTTTGAAATTTTCAATAAACTTCTTCCAGGATATGCAGTGTGCAGGCGGGATGATGTAGTTAGCCAGTCATCAAATTCTTTCAGAGAACGATCTTCATTTAACTTGTGATTAACCATGAACTAAAAGTGATTAACATAATAACAGTAATAGTGATAAGGTGAGTACCAACCAAAATCAAACAGAATCTATCTATAACCTTTGGACTTTTATATCGTTTGACATATTCACAACGTAAAGTCATTATTCATTTGTTATTTTAAACAGTAAGCATTTGTAAAATGAGTTAATCTAATAAATTTATTATCAGAAGGGGTTTTGTGGAGATTGTAGTAATTTCAATGATTAAGATCATGAGTCAGTTGAAGCTAGACCAGGTTTTCCATGGTGGTCTAGCTTCAACTGACTCATGATCTTAATCGTTGTAATAAATTTATCTTTTTTGGGGGGGATACGACTGGTTTCGAAAAAAATTAGTCATTAATGATTCTTTACAAACTTTTATCGTACCAATGTGAAATATATTTTAAGTAAACTGACACAAGTGTCTGAAACTTGCTTGATTAAAAATTGCACAGAAGTTTAAACAGTCTGTTGAATTGATAATTCCGAATAGATGGAGCATTGGGTAGATTGTTATAAATAAAATAATACATTTGTAATAACCCAATGAGTAGAAAAGTAAGATTTTCTGACGTTTCATGACTCAGAGTAAGCCACTTCTTCATAGGATAAATAACCAAATCAAAATTAATCTAATTTTTTTTACTCATTGGGATATTTACAAATATATTATTTATTTATAGTCTGTTGAATTACTTATTGGGTTTATTTTTCAACAAATTCAATTAGTTGACAAATAGAACCCATTGAGTTGCGATTTGTCCAACAGACAGGTATACTCAACGCAGGATATATATATATATATAGTATACTATTGAACACTTAATCTAACTTATGACAATTGGCAAATCGTGTGAAATATTTGTGGTTTTTTGTATTCTGGTTGCTTTCATGTTGCATACATTCGACTATTTAGCTGAATGCTTGAAAACACCTACACTCCACTGACTGCATACGTATACTTTTACCTGTCTGTTTCAAATCATCCGTTATTGTGCCCATATGGCCGCTTCTTTTTAGCTCCATTGGTTGCCTGAAGTGTACGTTCCTATAAACTTCTGTAAATGACTCTTGATTTTATACCATCTGGTTCAAAGTGATTTGAGTTCGGGTCATTAAATGCTGCATCTTCTAGATTTAGATCAGAATCTAAAGGCTCAACTGCACAATATGTATGCATCGGTCGAACTGGAGTAAGATGTTTGAATTTTAGACACTAAATCTTAGGTTAGGACCCGCCCCACATATTTCAGTCTGATGAAACACAGTATTACTAGCCCTCATATGTAACTTATGACTCGAAGCAAAGTAAGTAGAGCTGTACCTGGTAGAGTCAATAATAATAACTTGGCTAAAGTTATTAAACTCTTCACGTAAGTACAGATAAAGAAGACAGTAACAAAATACGAATAAGGGTGGCCGTAACGCTATTCCAGTAGTCAATATTAAAAATTAGTGGATGGTATGGCAATGCCAACGATCTTAAGCTATGTTCACCAGGATCATCAACGTGAGCCTCATAAAGAAACTATGGACCCTACTGTACCCCCTCCCTTAGATTACTAACCAGCAACTTTAAGTACTGAAGCCAAGTTTTAATTTGATCACATAGCCTTTTTCCGACATATTCTTATGTTACTCAGTTTAATTTGTTAGAGAAAATGGTAGATTTGTAATAAACCTTAGCTAACTGAGTCTATAAAAGTTTACGACCCAGTCCACCAAACCACTACCTTAACCAGTAGTCTTTACTTTACATTTTCATCTCTCGCAAACTAATGTGCGTGCAGTTAAGAAATATCTATGGCTAAACGCTAGGAACTTATGTATATTTTCCAATTTTAAAGTTCACTTTTCATAGCTACAAAAGAATACAGAACAAACTTCTCCGAAATAAATTCACTTTCTAAGAGGTATATACCTATGCCCCCGGTACTGTGAGTATTGTCAGTGGGTAAAGGTCGATTCAGCTTTCGTATATGTCCCGACACTATTAACTGTCAACCTAACCTAAAACGATGACTCTTTGGGTAAGTGAATTAGTTTATACAGTTATTTTATTTATATGTTGCAATAGGCATCAATGCGAACCAAATCTGAAACAACTGTTTGCGCTTAGGTTTAGAGGAACGAGTGCTAATCAGTATTGTTACTTAGTTTGTCTGGAAGACTGTATTTTTCAACAGTTACTCAGCAAAATTATATCGTTCTTACACAAGTCAATAAGAATTCCTCTAGTCAGGAGATCAAGTCCTGAATTCAGAAGAAAGTCTTAAAGGCATATTGAAGAGGTATATAAAACTAGGATAGGCAGTATTAAAGTAAATTATTTAATGTAGCCAATTCAGTTATTTGTGAGCTGGACTCCAATCACAAGTATTTGAGTAAATAGCATGTGCTGGGATGACTTAGTTCATGACGACGATTTTCTTAGATTTGTTCTTCTTCAGCTTAAGTTAATTGATAAATTTCCTTTGAAAAGACCTCGCTAGCCATTAAATAGAGAAACATAAACACAACTTATCCTATATTCATTACTGATCGTTAGGAAATTGAAATCTGATCTACTGAAGAGTTAGAAACTCATTAGCTATGAAGTGGATGAATTACAAGTGTTGTGGTTTAATTCTTACTACTCATTAAAATAGCTCTGGCCAAAGAATTTTATATTCCTAATAATCTGACAATGCATATTCAAAGCCTGAATATCTTTTCAATAAGCATCTCTACTAAGTGAACTAGACGACAGAAGTTTGATTTTCAAAGACTATGTGACCCTTATCAAAATTAAAGACACATTATCTGAGTCCTAATATGCGTAAATGCTAACTAGAGTTTCACTTTTTGGATATTGGATAAGAGATGTAAACACGGTATAATTTCAGTTAGGAATTTCTAAACTTGTGGATTCTACTGAGTATTATCTATTATATTGTAAATGGATATTTTTTAACAAAACAGATTTATGCTGTTCTTTCGAATCAACAAATCTCATATGTGGGTATATACATATTCAGACTTACACAGCATTTTTCATGTTCTCTTTTAGTTGGTTGATTAAAGTAGTTAGGCTTAAGTTAATGGATGAATTGAAACATCATTTGAGATTGAAACTGAATAACATTTCAATACACCTAACATTATCATTTACTAGTAAAAGTTTTAACCGACATAACATGAAGCATGCGGTAGAACTATGTTTCGTAACATCGGCCAGTACTGAACAAACTGTTTTTCAGATACAGCACTTAACGTTAAAAATATTCAGATTTTTAGAAGTTTGAATTAGCAAACTTGGGTAAGTAATTTGTGTGTTCACTTAACTAAAAGATCATATAACAATAAGTTTTAAAAATAGAAATAACCCCTAAATTAAATTTTGAGACTAAAGATTTATAAATCATCTAACTTTATTTCTAGTTAAACATATTACTGAGATATCAATAAGTATATTGGCAGTTTGCTGAGAACTACATGAATTAATGTTGCATCAGAATATATTCTAACGGCAACATCGTAACTCTTTCCGTCGTAATAACCACATGAACTTATTTATATTTCATAAAAGTAATGTCTTTGAGATATGTTTAAATATCTTAATCCCTATCCACATAGAAAATTTCGTATTTCTCCATTTGAAAAAAATAGAGTAACCAATGCGCATATATATTTGGTGCCCCCCTGTACCAATATTTATGTGTTCAAATAAATAATAAAATAAATAATCTATCCAGTAAGTTATTTTAAGTGTCATCCAGAATACTAGAACACAATAGATGAGTGCTTTTTGTCACATAATAAAAGAGTATAATTATCAACTGAAGGCATTTGAAGTAACTCGGCTCACTAGTAACAACTGTCACGGTATTTTGAAGAACAAGTTCCAAGTTTAAAAATACATTTCATGAACAAATAAGTGTTGCACATAAATTAGTTACGATTTTAACAACTCGTATTACAGTTGTTCGATATTTGCAATAAATCTTAGTCACATTAATGGGCGTTTAGACATGAATAAAATGTTATTTAAATGGCATTAACAAAAGCTACCACATAAACCTTTGATACACACCAGGTTCACTAGGCCATTCAAACGGCTTAAAGATAAAGAGATATGCTGTAATAAACACAATCAATAAATTCCACAAAAATTCACAGAGCAAGTACTTATAATGAGTATGTGAAAAGGAGAAGATGCGCCATAATACAAATGGGATCAAGAAATATCGCAATTCGAGTAAACCAGAAGCAATAACAACAATGAAAGTGCAAACTAAGAAAACTAAGCGTTCTATAAAAGGACCGAATGGTATGTTTCGATAAGAAAAGAACAAAGTGTTCACAAAGTACGCTGTCGCTACCAGGTAAGCAATAGATAGACCATAATACGTGAAAACATTCCTATATATGATTTTTCGCCAGATATAAAAAGTATAATGTCTATTGTCAGAAATCAAATAAGGATGAATAAAAAGGCAATACTTCAGAGATATTAATATAAATAAGACAAAAAGTGGTGTGAGTAGAAGAAATGTACTCAACACCCTCCAACTTCGATTAACAAGCAATTTCTTAAATGATTTTATGGTATCCACTATGAAACCCATAAACTGAATGGGAGTAGAAAGTGCACAAAAAGTAGCAAAGTAGAAAAATTGAGGGATGTTCAAAACTGCAGTATGTGCTTCTCTATCACCCAAAACAATACCTTTATTTATAATAACAAAGGATATAAACGAAAATAAAACTAAGACAAAAGGTAAACACGGTCGGAAGACACTTTTTAGTATGACAAGTATGACAGAAAGTGGATGTGTAATGAACATGTACAGTAATCTTTTGATCCACATGGTTGATGAACATCGGTCATGTCCGAACATATTTTGTGATAGGCTTCCGGAAGTGTGGATGCACATGAGCAGAGGAACCCATATAATATTAGATTGGCGTGTGAAAACAGCATAGGATACAAGCAGAGCACTTAACCAGTCATGGTGTAGTAGACTAAAGTAAACAGACGCCATGACGAATAAAATCGAGCAATGATCAGTGTAGTAGAAGGCAGAGAAAAAGAGGAATAATGGTTCTGATGCGATAGAGATGGCTAGAATATTAGGAAATTTGCATTTCATGATTTTAACAAGCCTAAGAATAATCACATGATTAAGTATACTGAACAGGACACTGGAAAACCTAAAATGCATTGCAGTAGGTTCAGGTGGAAGTATACCTAATGAACTCAAAACTTTGTGAGCGGACACATAAACCACATAAAGACCGGGAGGTGTGGTGATCTTGTTGTCCCAGTACTTCCAGTTTCCTTGAATATATTTTAATGTTTGGCGTACATGAAAAATTTCATCCATGTAAGGGTCGTGTTGGTATCTAGAGAATACATATGTCAGGACAAATGATACGGCAGCAGTGAACGTTATAAATATCCAAGAAACTATGTAGTTGTAACTCATTTTCTGATACTTGGCTGATATTTGTGGCCTGCAATTATTAGGTAGGATGACGCGCGTAAGTATGTACGTATCGTCAGTTCACAATTATTGAACAGAGACAAAGGTATGCAGGGAAACACAAAACCAGTGATCACTAGTAACTGAAGGTGTCAAACTACGGCAATTTTGTAACAGGACCTTAACATTAACAGCACAAATTCGAAGAATACTTACTTGTTAAGTTCACGGTTAAATCACGACCTTGAAATTCAATATTTTCATCATCCATGAACAAGAACATCAGGCTGACTGGCTTATGCAGATTCTTTCGATAAATATTCCTTCAAGCCTTCAGTTACCCCATGAATCCTCTTTTTCATGAAGATCGATGTCACTTGTTTGTATGGGGTGTTAAAACCCCTGACACCTAAGAGAAAAATGGAATCCTACTGAGTTTATTCCGAGGACATTCTTTAACCTGTTTTGTTTATTTAAGGAGATCATTGATCCTTGAGATAACTGAAAAGTAAGACTTTAATTATTGCTAGTTATTCGAGTTTCGGATTGGTAGTATATAGTCACTTCATATTTTACGTTTTTAGAATTGGAAGACGGTTAATTCTTTTTAATTGTTCGTCCATATAAATAAATAAATATATATATATAAATGTATATATTAGAAGGGTCTGTCACCAAATAATTACGCACAGGATGAATAGTTTTGTTTGCCTGGATCCCTAATATTTCCTGGATTGGCTGCTTGAATTTAGTATTTTATATAGTGTGTAAAATTTGGATATATCTCCGTCAAGGCCCCTTAGCCAAATTGATCTCGTGATACTACATCACAAACAACTTATAATCACTATATCTCAATCAAATCGTATTCCGCCTTATGCTAAGCTGCATACTCGCAACTAACTTGTATGCACCATCAGCCGGTAGGTATAAATATGAATGAATAGTCTATGGCAAATCAGAACATTGAGTCTAGAGAATATCTCTAACGGATACACTCATGTTGAACGAATCGCTCTTAGCTATCTGTCCAAAATCCACATAATTATCACTTCACGTATTAAAAAACTTTTTTGATAGCCATTCATATGTATTAGTGGTATTACTAAATTCTACCACGGTCAAGTAAAAATGAGGTCGAGAAAATCTCCCCGTAAATAAATAAACCGTATCAAACTAACTGAAATACTAGTTGGAATTCTTCTCCACGGTTATACTTTTGTTCTTTCAGTTAGTCTACTAATGCAGATGCAATCGGAAATCAACGCATGGACAACTTTCTGACATAAACGATATTTGATTTCATAAGTTAAACCAAATACAATACCAGTTTTAACATTTCTACAACATTGATTGCTTTTAATATTTCTAGACAAAAAATACTTACTATCTATAATTTAAGCTATTATCCAATGCTATTAACATGCATCTCACGTTTTTATTATTATTATTATTATTATTATTATTATTATTGTAATCCCATTTTTCATAGCCCAAATAATCACCCCAAATTTTCATTTTATGCGTGTTTAGCATGCAATCAGATGTGCTAAAATTATTACATGTGTTTCCCGACCAGATGCTGCCGCCTTCTTTTTGATTTATCTTTCAGTTCATCAATACCCTGATGATTCTTATTAGTCTTGGTAACCTCCGGCGCGCGACAATCTCGCTCAATTTCGGTATCAAACCAACATCACGTTGATTCTGGTGGGAGAGTATTGTGGCGGCACTAGGCCCTAGCACGAGACAATATGGTAAACAGACATTCAGCATTTAACGCTGGGAAGTACCCAACAATGGAGAAGGCGGGAATAAGGAATTAAATAAATTGGGGTTGATCGTATGGCATGGCTCAGCCATGCAGACGTGGTCCCAGCTGAATGTTATCTCTTATCTTTTATTCATATTAAATATATTGTCCTATCTCTAGCACAGCTTTTTCTCCATCCTGTATTGGTAACTGTTACAATGCAATGAGTTGGTGTAAACAATGATGTAACTTCCACGTAAGATCTTATAGACTAGGCAGTTATATCATGATAAATCTACAGTTTTAGGATTAGGTCTATTATTAGAGCAGTGCTAATATCATAGTAGACCGTAATTCTACAGACCCTTTTACCCAATAGCCAGAAGCATTACCCATCAAGGACATCACTGCGAAAGCTGACATTAGATATACCGCGTCTCAACTCGTTTATGGCACGACCTTTCGACTTCCAGGAAAATTCATGGATCCTTCAACTTCTTCAATGCACATGGATCTAATCTCCTACATGAACAGGCTTACAAACGTTCAGTTAAACCTATTTCCACTCGACCGCAATCAACTGATGTTGTCGTTCAACTTGACTTACGATATAGTACACACGTTTTCGTCTATCGAGACTCACATCGACGACCTCTCGAATTAGCATACGAAGAACCTTTCAAAGTTCTTTAACGCGAACCCAAGTACTATATAATCGATAAGAACGGAACCGACGATAGCATCAGCATCGATCGCCTCAAGGCAGTGCATTAAGAATGAAATTCTATCCACGTCGATTTTCCCTCGGTACAATCGAACGACACGGCTCCTATATTTATAACACCTCATCCGACAGCCAACACGCACGTTGATACCTCGGCAGTATCTGAAAATAAACTTAGAACAACGTGTTATGGAAGAAGAGCAAGATTTCCAGAACATTTGAACGATTACTGCACGTAAGATACTATTTGACATTTTATATCATCTCGATTTCACTTTGTACTATATGTAACATAGAAAAAACAAGTTTAATATGTTTATATATTTATATTTTTATTCCAAAAAAAACAAAAACGAAAAAAAACTATTTCGTAAAAATCCTTTTTTACGCTATTACGTGTGAATGAGTTTACTTTCCCTTACTTCACTCGCCTTGTGTTTTTACGCGCGTACGAGTGTATTTCGACATGCACTTACACATTTTTTTCCTTTCCAGGACGGCCGGAAAATGACGAACCGAAATTTTTATTGTCCTTTTTTTCGCTATATTTTACTCCATGGTCCCTTATAGTAAGGATGGACAACCAAACGCCGCTAAACCTGGCAAACTATCAGAAGAGTGTTTACCAACGAAAAACTCGTTGGGTTTAAGCTTCTGGCTGGCCACGTCTTAGGGTCATCACTACCCCACTAGGCGGGAGTGATCTGTAACGGTAAATAAATCCTCAAGATAAATAGTTCTGTAAGTTTTCGACATTGGATGCTGACCACATTAGTTTTAACGGACTCATCTAGCTGAAGGCGCTCGGTCATGCATCCGCACCAGATCACGTGTGAGAACGCCGTGCTCAACATCTACTGCAATCGCTAACTAGATTAGATCAGACGATCCTCGATATATTGATAGCTTATCAAATAGATCTTCGAACCTCCCCGCTTCTGTCTTTTGGTTTCACTGGGTGGGTACGCCTCATATTAGAAGGTGTTACTGGTTAAAGTGTTGTCAAACTCCGAATGCCTGTGGCATCATTAATGGAAAATTTAAAAGTCGGTGGAACCAGAAGTCAGTGACAGAATTCGGTAATATATTTTAAAAGTGGACAACTTGTTGACAAGTCCTCCGTCGGAAATAAGACAAGAGACTAAGTTTCATCCGTTTGTTTGACCTCTGGATAGAGCTCTTAATATGTTCATTTGAAATACATAATTGTCTCGTGATTGAAGTCTAGCATGATCGGCTAGCTTACTATGTGCGGAAACGTTTGTTACGTCAATACCTTGTCTTGTTATATTTCATTCCTTACGTATGGCAGTCATTTCTCATTCTCGAGGAGGATATTATTTTGCGAGGATTGATGTTGATTTGTAATGATATTTGGTTCTCAACCACACAATCCTTGAAACCGAACATACGATAACTAAGAGGACTTAAATTCAAGGATTAACCTGATGGAGAAGGTCAGAAATGGTGAACATGGGAACATTGAGTCAGAATGGCATGGCTCGAGCATGCAGATGGTCATTCTGTATAACCTCGAAAAATACTATTATAATAATAGACCTAATCCTAAAATTTTAGGTATGGCATGTTGTTGTAGTGTCACTGAACCCTAACCACACGACCTTCCAAACCGGGCATATAGTTACTGAAATGATTTCCATTCAGCGATTTACACGAAACGAAGGTCAGCAATGAAGAAGGAGTGAAGGATTAACTCAGTTCATAGGATGGCATGACTGAGCTTGTAGGCGTGGTCATTCTTGTGTAACTTATCTCTTTAGTTCTTATTAAATATATTGTTCTATCTCCTGCCTAAAGTCTTTGTCCATCAAATAGTGGTGACGATTACAATAGGACGAGACCATGTAGACGATGATATGACGTTCATGTAGGATCCTACATATTAGGTAATCACATCATGACAAATCTAAAATTTTAGGATTAGGTCTATTATTAGAGCAGTACTAATAACAAAGTAGACCATAACACCAGAATGCGACTGCCCAGTCTATAAGATCTTACGTGGAAATTACATTATTGCCTAGTCTAACTCATAGTATCGTAACAATCCGCGATATAACGTTGAGTGTTTGTAAAGAACACATTCAGGGCAAACCTGAGTAAAGAAGTTATACAGAACGACTCGGTCTGCGAAGCTGAGCCATGACATCTGAATGAATGTTCCCGCGCTTACTATTGTAGGCCTTTCCTCCACGTTAACTGCTGAGTATCTGATTTCTCAGTTGTCTCACGTTCAGCTTTGAGGATTGTGTGGTTATGGCCAATACTACTACAACCTATTGCCTTTCATATTAAATATATCATTTTCTTCCCAGAACAAACGTATTCTTCAGAGGCCCTTAACGGCAACTAATTACTGTTACAATTTAACTACTCGGTAAAGATGATCATATGACTTCCACATAAGGTCTGGTATGTTAGGCATCCACATCACTGACAATCTACAGTTGTCGAATAAGTTTATTATTCCTGTAGAAAACATAAACACGTTTAATACCGACCCAGATGCTATAACCGTATTTCCAGTATTCGGTTGAATGTTGAACTAACGAACCAAAGTTTTATCGATCAGGCCAAACTACGTTCTGTATAGCATACAAAGAGTTTTTGAGTGACTCGTATTAAATTATATAAAAACTCAAACTATTTACTCAATTTAAACAGTTCGAGTTTAAGAAACAAAACACTATATATCAAAGTACAATGCACCTCAAACCATACAGCCTGTGTTATACAGTCAAATGTTACTC